GTCACTCAAGAACCTTAGTCTAGTGATTTGCTCGATCACAGTTGCAAGTCACTCAAAAACCGTAGTCTAGTGGTTTGCTTCGATCTCAGCTGCAAGCCATTCAAGAACCTTAGTCTAGTGGTTTGCTTCAGCCACTCAAGAACCGTAATCTAGTGATTTGCTTCGATCTCAGTTGCAAGCCACTCAAGAACCGTAGTATAGTGATTTGCTTCAATCTCAGTTGCAAGCCACTCAAGAACCGTAGTCTAGTGATTTGCTTCGATCCCAGTTGCAAACAAGGTGAAACCGTATTCTATACATGGGCAGGAACTGTAGTCCCCCATGCTTCTTGCCACAACCGCCATATAACCTGTAAAAGTGTGACCTTACCTTAACATCTTTCGGATGCTTTCTTTTCTTCTTTAGAACCGGCTGTTTTGATGTTTAGACACACGCCATTCCTCATGATATTCAAGCGCATCCCAAGCTTCACATGGTGTTGTCAAGAAGTAGGAAAAAACTGATTTCTCTTCAATTTGTCACGTATTTGTGTGGTCTGAGGTTAATAATAGGTAAAGAAATTTTTTTTCCTGAGTAGACTCGAGATCGGCGAAAAACCCTTATGTGAGAAATTTGGTCGCACAGAAAACAGGTGATTGACGATCAGATTTGAGTAAGACATTTGTAATTTAATTTAATTGGTGAGGGTCATCATCAGCTGACCCGTTGGTTATGTCAGAATTACAAGATCAATATTTTTTACCCTTTCGAGGATGGTTTTGAAGAACAAGCAAAATATTCGGTCAAAGACTGCTCGTACAATACTAACCTGATCGCATTCCATATTTCGGATGTTCTTAAATTATAAGTCAAGGGAATTCAGAGGTTGCAAGGTCATTGAATGCACGGAAGAGTATACATCAAAGACATGTGGGAATTGAGGAATCGTAAAAAATGATCTTGGAGGTGGAGATGGATCGGGACGCGAATGGTGTCAGAAATATTTTGCTCAAATATTTAACAAAGGGTCAGGTTTTAGCCTGACTTTATGACTTGAAACTATATGGATACGATATGCATAGCAAAAACTAGCTTTATGTATTTACAGTACATTAGATTCGATTTCAAGAGTGATATGTATACATGTGGCATAAATTATTTTGCTGTTGACTCAATTCCCAAAATCCTCAAAAATAATTGCGTCATGACTCAATTATTTATATGTTTTAATAGTGACTCAATTAATTGCATCAAATAATTGCGTCAATTGCGTCAAGGATCTACGAATTTCAGCAACGTGTATAGTGATATGCATGTACATAAAATTATTTATTTTTTTTGTATAACCTTCTCACAATTTTTTAAATAACAATGATTATGGTGAAATAACTACTTTTTGAAAATTAAAGACTGCATCGATGTCCATTATCTATAGAAGAATGCATTTCTAAAGTAAGAAATTTTGTGTCTGTCAATTAAACTTTTAAATAAATAACAAGTTTATACAGTATTAAGATAAAATTATAGGCATGACCAATATGCATTATAAATAGAATAAACTACAGTAATATTAATATGTACATGTATAACGTTCAATAGTGAAGATAAAACGTTATTGATCACTCAAAAATTCTAGTACAGTTGTCATCTTTTGTTCAAGGGTATCGAACCGTTCCATAAATCTGATCATCCTTTCGGAAATTGTATTCTCCAACTCATCAAATCTCTTCTGCATCGCCATTGTGCGTTCTGGAGTCACCTCTTCATTAACAATGCTTCTACTACTTATACCTGCCTCCGGTATAGGAAAAAGCGTATTATCGGAAGTACCTTGATTTGTTGAACTGATAGAAAATAATGGTTTGCTAACAAAGGTAGAAAGCGAACTATTTCGTGAATGGCTGATACATTGTCGCCTCTTAAATTTATTGACGTAATCTTCGTCCACAAGCTTGATTTTTTCCTCGTTATTATCTGATTTGTTAGAGTCTAAGGAATATTCTCTGTAATGTGTTTTTTCGTGCTCCTCTTCTTCATAGTCATCATCGGAATCCGACGATTCTAGTTGATCATCTTCGCCCGTTCGTGTCATATTCCTTTTCTTGACATACAAAAGCCATGAATCGATAAAATCAGGATTGGGAATGAAGTATATGTAGCGACTATCTTTTTTCCTGCCAAGTGGTCTATCCATTGTTTCATAATCAGAAATAAGATCAGCGCGAAATACATGAACAGCATTGTAACCGTCTTCTTTGGCTTTATCGAATGCGCCACTGCACAAGATTAAGTGAATCGCATCAGTAAAAATTTATTTCAACGTAAATTTCCAATCACCATACTTACTTCATGAATGCAATTAGCATATTTTGAAAGATCAATACTAATATCAAACTCCCCAAGATGCTCATCACATCCACCGCGTAATTATCCCATAGTTCTAATTGATCCCACCGCCCGTTGGTCCAAAAAAATACTGCTTCTACGGATGAGCCAAGGTTGGAATAGTAATTTTCGATGCGTGAATTTCGATCAACTTGACGTTCAATTATCAAATTTCTTTCGTCGGTATTTTGAGGGTTGACAATGTCATATCTATCAACCTGAAATTGATCGTTAGGCGCATTCTTAAGAAGGATGAACCTAAAGTTTTATTATTTGGAGAGCGAAGATAAAGTGAGGGTTAGTTGTCAAACGTCAATTGATATTTCTTTCCCCTCGGGCGACATTTCTATAACTTACATAGCAGTACCGAATCCCAATACCGCGATTAACATGAAGGCGAAGAATGGCCATATGGTATTTAAGATGTTCGTAATGATGTAGATAAAGCGCCCGGGTGACTCAAAGTATCTCATTAACAACAACTATAGAGAAATTAAGATGAGTAGTTGATCGAAATTTAAGGGAGACATAATTGTTGAACATAAACGAGATACATACCAACTCGAACCACATAATCAACATTGTAAAACTCAGCGCTGTGGTGAAAAGGTAAAAATCCATGTTGAACAACCAATCCGAAATATTCAATCCCAATGGTAGAACCACCGATCCCAAATCAAATATGTTATAAATGTCAAGGTATCTTTGTAATCCCTCTTGTTTCAATTGTATAAGTTCATTGGCAACCAAGTGCCACCCCGTGTACAAGAACAAAAGGTTGAATGCGCTGATAACAATATCCCCAGGTGCGGTTGAAAATAGGCTGTTGGTCAAGTTGACGTTAATCGCATAGTTGATGGACCGGACTCCGAACGAGATACCGAATAGGACATAGAGGGAAACGTTACGAAGGAAATAATTACGGGCATCTCTCCATTTATAAGAAGTGATGGCTTTAATGGAAGGTGTTCTATGGAGGTCGGTACTTTCATCCTCGAAAATCACACGAAGAAATGGGCTCATTTCTTTGACATTACCAATGATTCTTTTTCGAGGCCAAAACAATGATCGGAGAATTTTGATTGACATCAAGCTATAACTCAATTCATCGTTGTCGGAAGATTTAGGATAAACCGTAAAGTTGGGCAAGGGTACCATGTAGACTTTACGATCATTATAGGTTGGCTCAATTACCACTCCTGACGGGTTAATGAGGAAAAACTTTTTCATACTAATAAGGAAGCAAGAGAGATTTTGTGCTCAGTATTGTTGACATGTGTCAAATGATTGTACGATCGTAAAAATACCTTGCAACCTGTCTGGAAAGAAAAGCGGCCATTTTGGTGAGTGTGGTAATTGGAGGCTTTCGCTCAAGTTGGGGATTCACATTTATCACGTGTAAGTTATCTGTACAATTGCCCCTTATTTGATCATGACGATTGATATTTAAGGAGGGTGCGTACGCTTCGATAGTTCCGAAACATGGTTTTCTGAATAATTCCCGGACAAGGTGCTCTTTAAAAATCAAATATACATCGATTGGTATGATGAAATCCAAAATGTAACAAAAAAAACAGTCCGAAAGCGACAATGATAACAATATTTTCAAACTCACCCAATTTGTAATCATAAAGTAAAGGAATCACGTTGGTGACAGTCATCATCCACCCGACATTATTGTAATCTTTGGCATTATCTGCATAATAATCTAACAAAGCTTCGATGGTAACCGAATTTGTGTGTTTTCTCGTGCATTCTAAGGCAATCTGTAGGTCGGCCTTCTTAGGCACAAGTTTATTTGATCCGTCGATATTTCCCCAGGAATGAAGCCTTGGAATGTGTAATCCCGAATTTTTTCCGTTCTTCCGATTCTTCAGAATGCTCTGTATCAATCTCGCCTGACGACTCCTAATAAGATTTTCCATGATCGGGTATCGAATGTCAGTTAACCTAAACAATCCACTTTTCTTTATGTATCTCTTCACCAGCCGTTGTGTATGGTTAACCAAAAATTCACGCTTATTGGCGTTTTTGCTGCCAGCGATTTCATGTTTCTTATCACTCAACACGCGTAACGTCTTACACGCTCCCTCCAATACATTGACATTATTTGGCCAGTGGATCGTTAGTGGTTGTGGTTCATATTTTTCGCTAGAAGGAACCATCAGCTTTAGCACAAATTCTTGTTCGCCAATTAGCAGTTCACGAATTTGCAGTTCGTCACCACCATTCTTGGCCCAGATATATTCTAACACTCGTTCATGTAGATCGGAGTCTCTTAATTTTCGGTAACGCCATACTTGTACAGTATCAGGTCCGATTGTGAGTTGGGTACGTTTGTCAGAGTGCAAATAAGCGGACACGCGAGAATACTTTTTATCTCTTTGCCAAGGTTCAATGTGGTTGATGATAACTTTGTTTCTACTCAACGAGCGAACATCAACTCGTTCTCCATCGACCTTGAATATCGAATGGTGAATTTCCTCATCTTTGTTATCAATTTCGCACGCCGTCATATCCTGCTGAGCATTGGAATTTCTTATGAGGTCAATATCCGGGTGGTCCAGTAAAGATGACAGATCGCCCTGCAAACGACAAAATAAATCAGATTCGGTTTAAATTTCATCAAGAAATCTACGCAAGAAAAAAAAAATGTCGATATTTACATCTTCGTTAATAACATAAATATTTCCTTGAGGGCTTATCAATGGACGAGTCATGTCAATTCTCAACGGGTTCTCTGACTCCAAACGAATGGATCTTCTTATCGCATTCTCCGAATGCTCGGTGTTCTCATGGGTGGTAAATAAGTCCCACACCACGAAAATTTGATACTTATGTTGCACATCACCTTCCTCAATCATTATCAACAATTTACTATCATCATCAATAAAACTCATGGATATGATCTTTTGGAGTCCAGGACCCACGATTTTTTTGGTGTCAATTTCCAAACCGGTTTCCATTAAATACAAGGTGATACTAGCGGTGCCCCGACAGAACGCCAAAATCGCATCATTTTGCGAAATGGCGAATACCGGCAAACCATGAATGACCTTGGGAGAAGCCGCCAAGTCTTTACGTTGGAATACTGTCTCCAAGTTGCCGGTAACTAGGTCGTACATTTCCACATGATGGTGTTGATTCTTGTAAGAGTTAACCAGGAAGTGATTTCTTATAATGCAATCATTCAAGATTTCTAGACCGCCTCGATAGTAATCAGGATGAGAAAGGTTTATCGAAAGCCTTTTGGGCAAGTTGAATTGTTCGATGTCAGATTTAAATTTGATCTTAGAGAATGGGAAAAAGTGTTTACGAGAGATTTTGATCTCGGAATTTTGGAAGGTCTGCTTATAGATTCCGGACGAATTGACGACGACAATCGCAGTTTGGTCCTCTGACAATGAATCTTTTAAACTGAAATTGCTATCGAGAAATCTTACAACTCCGCCGATCTTTCGGATACTAGTTTTAATTTCAATTTTTTGCAAAGTGAGGAGTACCCATGTCTCAGCTTTAGTGCGATTATAGCCAATAGTGTATCTCGAATCAATGGACTCCAGATCATCGATAGGATTCTCAACGTGTAGGCGAACGTCAGTTGAGGTCGTGTCAAGCAAGTCGAAACGTGATATGGCCATTAGGCGATCGTCTTCGGTGTTCACACTATCGGAGATGGCTATTGACCAGCAAGATTGTCCACTTGATGGGCCTTCGATAACAACGCTAAAGACGAAAGTGGAAATAGGGTTAACCAAATCGTTGGTACTAAATATGCTTATTTCATGAGTTGCTTTAAGAAGAAATCATAAGATCAGAAGAGAATTGTCAAGCATTGTTAGTTTAGATAATTTGAAGAACTCGAACGAAAATATTTGTCACATCTTAAATATTCACCAGGGCTAAAAGTAGCGATTTGTTGTCCATCCGGGCTTATGGACACACATCGAAACCGGGTCTGATAAGATTTATCAGTGGAACTAAACACCGACATCGCATCATCGACCACGTTTAGTTCGCTAACACTGCTGTTCAATCGTGGATTTGTTATTCTAGACATTTTTGTTAAGATTTTTCCTTTTAAATTAAGTCCGTGATAATATCAAATTTGCCGTAATAAGTTTAATTCTCGACGCGACAATGAGAAAAAATATTGTATATGCACATATATATATTTATTTATTTATTTATGTATTTAATATCTTGTAATAAATCATAGACGAAAGCGCAATGAAAAGGACGCGCACAAACAAAAAGTGCAATTGCTGGAAGATTAAAAATTTGGGAGAGTTGTGAAATCGGGACAATTTATAAAAAACCAAGATGTCCACTAATGTCTTGTTGGTTAGATAAGAGGATTCGGAACCCCATTTTTTATTTAAGATCTTCAAAAGTTCGGTTAAATATGCCCATCACCTGCTTCGAGGTTTCGTTAACTTAATCATAGTCCCACAATGATTCCTAACGATAATAATCCTAATTACGCTACGAAATGTTCTCATCACGTAATACGTGAGACTTTTTTTTTTTCTACGGACGGTAAACATTCATCTAGGTGCATTTTTGAGACATCGAGTGTTCAAATACACAGTATACGGTACGTCAGGTACAAATCGTTTTCAGAAAGATTTAATCTTGGACTTTAAACTTTCTGGAAGTTTGTTACAGAAATGTGTTTAAAAATTTGATCTAGTTTAAATCTCTATGGAAGGTTAATCATTGAGCGAAACAATTTAAGAATTGATAAAGGAACGACTTTACCCTTTATAATTTGGATTGCTTACTTTATATTGTAAAAAAGGTATTGTTGTTCCAATTAATCGGTAACTACCATTGTATTAGGGAAATGAGTGACCTGATCGGCATGCATAAAAAGAAAACGCATAAGAACTTGTAAAAAGCTTGTGTTTTAGTATTAGTCCAAAATACTATTTTGGCCTTAATTAAATAACGCTAAATACAGCACACACCTCCATTCATACCCGGTGCGTTAACCTTTTTTCGAACTTCAAGGAAAACCCTAAAATTATCAAATTAATTTGAAAGGATTATTGTTCCATGGAACTTTCCATGATCTGTATTATCGGATATTCTGATATTAATCGAGAATTAATACAACTTTTTGCTTAATAATTTTCTATTAAATTATTTTCTTTGAACAAAAAAGGAAATTAGTCGATTTTATATTTGTTATCGATAAGGAAAAAATTTATTTTTTATTAAATAATCGAATTACGATATGTATTTTCCTAACTATTAAAAGATAGACTCGTGACATTTAAAAAAAAACCAGTATTAAGTAAGTTTTTCATACAATATTATTTGGTGCAAATTGTATTAATTAATTGCGTTAGGTTATGGATATTGAATTCGTAATTTAGTACAGACAGCCCTTGAAATTGAATCCAATATGAATAATTAAAGTTAGTCTTTACTATGCATATCGTATCCCATATAGGTTCAAGTCCCAAAGTCAGGCCAAAGCCTGACCCTCTG